CAACANACATATATATATATAAATATATATATATATATATTAATATATATTATAAATATATATAATTATATAAAGTATACCTATCTATATGCTTACACACACACGCACACACACGCACACACACACATACACACACGCACACACACACATACACACACACGCACACACACACACACACATATATATATATATATATACTGCTGTTTATATATTTGTATATATACTTATATTTCCATAGATGTATATGTATATACATATCTATATTTATATGTACATATACTTATGTCTATATATCTGTATATATACATTTAGCTGGCTCGGTACCTATGCCCGCTTGCCATGATCATCCTGTCGGATGTGGTTTTCAAAATCGTGTCTTGAGATTTACCGATTTACGGATTGTGGTTCGAATTGTATAAGTTAAGAACTTCGATAACAGGCCAAAGTCATTTCTATTTCAATATTTATTTATGTAATTGATTCGCTGATCTGCAACGCTCGTATTCTAAATGATGGATCTAATGTTACAGGAGACAAAGAGACCGAAAAAGAAGATTAAGAAATTGGTATGTCATCTTAGTGCATGCCACTGCACTCGTATACTGTGTATTGTATCTTTTTGGGGTTGAAAGCGTTCGTGACTCCCAGCGATGGAGAATATACCCTGGCGTATATGATCATAGACGTCTCCGCATATGCAACGTGGCTTGTCCATTCCTGGCAGTGTGCCCCACTTGTTACAGTCGTATTCAATAGTGCTACATCTTCATCATTTCGTTGGATCAAGATGAAGTGTCTTCAAAAACTTGTCGTGTAGTGCTTTTGTTTTCTCCACGAGTATCAGTGTACGTTGCTCGATATTGATCCTTGATATATGTACACTGTCGATTAAATAGACTTCCAAGCAGTTGCAGAAGCAACAGGATGACGAGAAAGCATTGCTGGCCGCGACAACACGTGCCCTGAAGTTAAATCCCGCTCTCGCAGCGTACTACCATTTATGGGGCGAAGTGCTGAAGATAGAAGCCAAAACCGTAGACGAAAGAGGTCTTCAGAATCTTAGGGTAAGCTTACCCTCATCGCCCACCCAGTTATGGAGGCGTCATCGTGCCAGCTAGCATATTCGTGTTTTAGTAATATCAGCACGCACATTTTCGAGACTTCGATCTATATGTACTGTAGTGATTATCTCATTTCACAATTAAAAACCGCTTGCCACAAGCGCTGCTTTCTAGGACTCAATATCGTCTAGCACACACATGACACAGGAACATGGATAGTTTTCATGTTGATCTCAGTTTCACATTGAAGGCCAAGCCACAATGTACCCTCTGCTATGGCTGTGTGTCCTATATATTGTCGGGTCGGTGCGTGAAAGATATGGCCGGCTGTTGCAGCATTCTTTTTTTCATTTTTTAACGACATCTGTTAATCTGTGATTATAAACGCCCTATACAATAATTTCGCAGACCAAGACTCCGGACACGCTTTTATATGATGGTTTTCTCGTCATCGGAGCTTCGGCAACAAAGTTCAACTCTCAGCTGCAGTTCCGCTTTGGTAAGTATGTGTGCAAAGGGAATTGTGGCTTTTATATTTAATATGATCGTTGTATGAAATCATGAGTTTCGCTTCATTGGCGCCCTACTTGGGAGCATGCATCTGATTGTGTATTCGCATAGTCATTTGATATATCCAACAATCGAGTCGTGATCATGGTACTTGTACAAAAAAATAGAGTAATTATTTCACCATCCCGCTTTCGAGTCGTACACCTCTACGGTACACCCACGGATTGCAGCAAGTCTGAATATTTTGAGCAGTGTTTATCGCATGGTCTAGACATACATACACCTACGTTTTGTGAATTTGATATAGGGAATAGTCCTGATTATATGGGGCTTGGCTTGCTGGGCATTCACCAGAAGCGCAGAGCGAGTATTGCCACTCATTGGCACATCTTTGCGGCGCTCAATGTTCCTATACTCCGTGGTTCATCTTGTTCAGATTGTGTAGTAGACAGTTTTTGCAGTGAATTGTTAGAGTCCCAGATCTGATATGCAGATGGCGATGGCTGTCTTGTAACTTTATGTGAACAGCCATCTAACAACGACACGTCTATTTTAACCGTTATGCGCGGTTATTTATCCACTATTTAATATTATATGGCTGGGTTGCAGATGACAGTCGGAGAGTCAAATTTTGGCCTGGGGATATAGTATTTGTCACACGCACTGACTTGGCCAAGCACGTGCGCATCTCCAAGGGGACTGTTGAGCGGTGCTCAAACGGTTCCATTGTGGCCTCTATGATGGAGGAACCGGCCGACATCTTGGTAAGTTTCTCGCTGCAGTCATTCTCAGTGACAATGTATTGCCCTAGGCCTATATGTATCTGCACTTCTATCTTTACTAAGGAATTTGTAGAGTTTGGTTGATTTTCTTGTCGATGTACAAATAAGATATTCATTCTTGACACGTGTAGTAGTTTGTTAGTTCTTTTTGTTGGCTCTGTGTCTGATATTTTACAAAACGTAGCCTTTCTTGTGTTGCACTGGTCTTTGTTGACTTGATTTCACTGAAGTTAAATTTCGCACGCCTTCTAACAGCGCTCGTTATAAATTTAATTTTTTTGTCACTTTTGAATCTCTTCACAGAATGGCAAATGGAATTTGTATAGATTACAGAGCTCTACAGCCGAACAGCGAGTTAAAGATGCGATGAATATATTTACCTCTCAATCGTACGATGGTATGTCACAGCACACGTTTGTCATGTTAATCGTCCTATTTACTCTGTGGTTGTCACTCTAAATATCTCATAGGATGCTTTATCGAACCATATCCGTGCTGGTTTCAATTTTAACTTTCTGCTCAATTGTGGGCATTGCAATCGTGTGACATTACTCGCCTTTTTTTTTAGAAGACTTAGCGATTATTTCGTATCAGCTGACTAGGGATGAAAGAATGCAATCCATGTCCTCCCTGTGTACACAACCTGTGGACTCTGTACCATATAGTCAGTGCCTTTTCTGGTTTATCTCTTACCCGTATAACCTTCTATCTGGACTTGCAGGTCCAGACTGGCTGCGTACCTTGGTAGTGCCTACTGGAATCCACATGCTGTCCGAAGGCAAGCAATCGCCCGATCCTGCTTTTGGCGTAAGTCGCAAACCACAAGTCTCGTAGTATGGTTTCGAATTGTCTTACACGTGCGCGCACGGTATCACCACGTTGTGTGGACGGCCCAATCTAGTTTACTTTATTCTATTCGTGTAGCCATCTTTGAAGGCCTCATCCCTTCTGTGGGTATTGGATCCTATTTGAATTATTTACCACCAAAAGAACGCCTGTCCCACACTTCCGTCCATTGTGCAGTAGCTTTGTGCGTTTAGGTTTCGGTTAAAATGAGTACTATCATACATCAAATTTTAGAGACACGAATAGCAACGCTATAGATTCGCTGATTAAATTTGTATATATAGTTGTTCGGAATGCTTCCAGACCACTTGTAGCGTAAATGATTATCACAATGTTTTCAAGCGATTTCAAAATTGTTTACGTGAATAGGTTGTGGGAAGTATCTTTCGCAGGCATGTTTTACTTGTGACTGGGTCTAGGATAAAGTGAGTTAAATGCATCCGTTGAGCACGACTATAATACGAGTTTACACAACTTCAAAGCTTTCTTCATGAAGAAAGACTTAAATATATATAACCAATCCGAGAAACTGACAAGCCTCCAATGACATATTTATGGGCCACAGGTCTGCCTGGTCAAAATTCCAGCCAAATCAAGTGGCACCAAAGGCATTCCCGGTGTGGGGTCGCGGCAGACGTCTACAAGTGTGGCGCAGAGTATGAAGGTGTGTTCGGTGCATCTGCTGTGCACCCACGGGTGGGCTTGTGTGTTTTCATTTCTCTAGTGGTCATGACATCTGCAGTTGGCATCGCCCTTCACTTTGCGTTAGTAGTGCTGCACTCTGGAATCATAATATATTCACAATCTGACTTCGTTCCAACCATCACGCCTCGATATTACTCATAAATGTATTAGATATTCTCGAGTGCGTTTCTATTGGGCTGCCTAACTTTCCTATGAGTGTGGTGAATTTTCTATGACTGTTAACCTTTACGTTAGTCAATGGATCAGGACAAAGCTTTCATAGCGTAGGCGAAGGAGCTGCCAACACCTAGTCATTTTTTTTTAGAGCATCTTTGAATAATAAATTTTGCAATCACAGCGGGTACTCAAGCCCGCCCAAGTGAAGATTGTGAATGAAATTATGAACGGCACTGATGGTGGAGCAAGAAAAATGAATATCTCACAACGAAAGGTATTTGAACGGCTGATGTTTCAATTGTATTTCCGTATGCACATTCATAGTGCCTACGTCGTGAACTTGAACACGCGATGCTGAGCAAACCACTTTATTTATTGGAGAAATAACGAAACAGTCCTAACTAATCAATGCATACACACTAGCGAATTCATGTGTATATTGGTGTGCATGTGTCACTACTTGCTAAAAGCGTATGTAGACTATCTCGTAAACTGATAAGGTGTGTGCTTCGTTTTCGAGATGGTGGCCAAAAGTGTGTAGACCGGATTCCAATAGTATATCGCGTGCCTGTCGCGCACGCGTAGGACCCAGACAACCATCTGTGGTTGCGGCAGTATCCGGTACCATCTCATTTGTGCCGCATTCGCAGCGGATTTTGTGCGAACTTTTTCCGATTGTTTTACGTAGCCAGCTGTGTTTGACACCGCTCAATTTTTTGTTGCGCAGGCTGTGATGGCTACATTATCCTCCAATTTCTCACTGATCGATGGTCCTCCGGGTACTGGAAAGACGCACACGTCTGTGGGGCTGGTCAGAGCATGGTATGTGCATGTGAATTGCTGCATTATGTGATTGATCCCGACCACAGTGCTAGAACTTACTCTGACATGTGTGTATTCGTGCTCTGTATGAGGAGTGGTGTTGTGTGAGGGCATGCTTTCGTACAGGTGGAACTTATGTCTTTTTTATGCATTCATGTGTGGATGAAGCTTCAGTGTGTAGTTGGACTTGTTTCTTTAGGTGTGTGTGTGTTTTATGGAGGTGTTGCGGGTAAGCTAAGCACATAAGACTAGATAAGCTCGGGTTCGAAACCATGCATGCCTGCGTGCGAAATTTATTTCTCCTTCTTGTATCTGTTCGCCATATTTCTCTGTCTGCGGCGAGCACAAAGTTCTGCAGTATGTAACACATCATGAGGATACTAGCGATTATACCGCACGATGGCATCATTCATTGACACTCCTGTAGCAAGATCATGCGTAAGAGCATACACACATACGAATGAGGGGTTTCATACTGAATTAGTTGCATACATTCACAAACATGAATTTTCAGTAACTATGAATACACACGTATGCATATTTATACACAAATACGTGAATATACACCGCCATCTGGGTGCCTATATGAGGTTTTACTCACAACTCGACTATTTGAAATACTCACAACCCTATTTTACATCCTCACGCCATCGCTGATAGGCGTCGGCTATATGAGAACGAAGGTCCAGTATTGGTTGTAGCGCAAAGTCACACAGCCGCTGATCAGATTTTGACTCGTCTGATGGATTCCGGGGTATGTATACGCGCCTGCGATGAAAAGTGTCGGCGTATATACTTCAGCTCAGGTTGAGCTATATTATGTGTGGTTGTGTGAATATGCGCAAGTGTACAGGGGACTAAGTTTCCGCTCGTATGGCACATACTTCGAGCTTGTGTTGTGTCTCCATATGTTGCTCACAGACGTCCAGTTTACGATGACTGTTGTTCTTAGTCGTATATACGTATGCCCATCGAAATTGCCGATAGCATGTGACAAGGTCTCTATAAATTCGCAAGGAATCGGGCTGAAAGTCCCCACGACATATCAGTGGCTCATCATCTATTAACGGCCATAATATCACGAAAAGCAGTACTTACAACGTCATCTTAGCAATCACTCAAAAGTCACATGTCGACTGAGTACATTATCGTGAGAATGTCAGCATTCCCGTAGAATGTGGTTTCACACAGAATCTCGTGTAAACCTTTTAAGACGAAATATAAGTAGCGGCCTCTGAATGAAACCACATGAATGGGAAAAGACACGTGCCGGAAGAGGTGTTACACTACTTGTTTGCTTCGATTGTAGCAGTGCAACCATTTCTGCAGTGCCATTTATTCGTTGCCCGCGTTTCCATCAAACTATGATACAGCTGCGCACTTCGCGCATTGGGTTCTCTGCGAAGGTGTCCGTGGACGTACATTCAGTGATGCTGGAGACGCTCATGGGGGAAGACCCCACCATAAACAAAATAGAAACCGAGAGGTAAGTTTTGCACACACATGTACATTTGTGTATCTGAAATTTTGAATTGAACATTGCAAACAAGTAGCTGATATGCTTGTGGTATATACGGATGAGTGTACGGACCTGATACGCAATCTTGCGTGCAGTGAATACAAAAAAGATCCGTCTATATACCAAAAGAAAAAGGCATAATTTGACGTGGGGTTTTTTTGGGAGATTGTTCATGACCGGCACGTCCTTCTCCTCAGCCCTGAAGACCTCATTTTTCTTGTCAAACACACAGAACGAAGATTTTGCGACAGTTGGAAACTACGTTCGAACTTAAACAAAAAACATCACTTTTGAACCGCTTAGAAGTTCTGAAGGCGAATGAAAAAAAGGTACGCATTCTATTGCTTGCTGCTGTAAGCACGTACGTGTTGTGGTTGAAAATATTGTTTTGTAACAGATGCGCAAGCATATATACATTGAGTGCATGTTTTTTTTTGAAGTGCAGCTTTATTTGATGACATGGTGCATTGATGGCTCGTAATCATAGGGACGTTGGCTATGGTACATTTCCATTGCTGTGTAGCGTCTTCAGGCCCATAGGCTCATACACACTACATATGAAATAAGCGCGTATGCGACTCTCTTTGTTAGTTACAATAGACGAGCACACAATATAATTGTATTAATACAATGTTTGTCATACACTTGCTGCAAATATAACAACTTTAAGTGAACGGCATTTCTAGTGTAAGCTTACACCCATCCATATGCTAAGGTACGGCTGCAGTACGTGTATCCACCTTGCGAATACACCTGGTATGGTACCGTGTCCACGTTCTTGATTACCGTGTATGATTTCGACAGTTTTCTGTAGCTCCCTGCCCTAATTCGGATAACATATGTCGAATACTCCTAAATCACTTGTGCCACTCAAATGTCAACTCAAATTTGCCTACTTTTGTGGTATCACCTGCTTACATGAATGCTTCAGCAATATCTCGTCATTCTAGCGGAAACTATTCACATACCGATATCTCTGTCTTATTCCGTTTGATTGCCCTGCACTGCCTTTTCATAGGCTATCAATTCCATCTTGTCAGGCCTCGATGTGGTATGCTGCACATGTATGGGTGCAGGTGAGAAAATTCTTCACAACATCAAATTTGGATTGGTGGTGGTCGACGAGTGCACAAATAGTACCGAACCAGATGTGCTGGTGACACTAACTAAGGCCAGGAAAGACGGTCAGGTGAGCAATCAATGCATGCTATATTTTATTTTCCCATGGCTACCTTTACAAATTGAAGTATGTATGCTCTACTTTGTAGATTTACCGTATATGCTTTGACTATCTGAACACGACGTATGATTCTACTATGCGAGCACACCGTGCAAGGTTTTGCATGTAAATACCATGCATACGGATACCACTCAATTCATTTGATGGTACGCATACATGCCAAGTGTTGATCTAATTCGTCGATGTGCAACTCACTTGTCATTTTGCTCACTTTCGTAAAAGTATACTAATCGCTCGAATGTAATTATATTACTTACTAAAATGTAACTATAGCTATAAGCTTATTCGAAGTTTACTGTATCGCATAAATTAAATCGCATTTCATCTCCACAGGTGGTGTTGATTGGCGATCACAGACAGCTGCCGCCCACCGTCATGACTCAGGATCCCAAGGCAATGCGTATTCTCAATTTGTCGCTCTTCGAACGACTGAGAAATCTGAAGACGGGTATGAACATCTGCACATCCTGCACTGCACTTAGCCAAACCACACAGTGTCTACAAAATCAGCACGTCTCAGACAGAGCATTAAATTGGGATGTGTCCTGTATGATGGGTCTCTAAGCGTATCAAATTAGTGTTCCCTTGGTTAAGTGGACCACCTATAATATTTTAAGAGTGTGAATTGTTCTCAACTTCGTTACACCTTATTCTGATACACTACCAATATCTTCCCATCTTTTGCGCTGTAGACCCACCGGCAGCGCTGCCCAAAGTGCACGCAATTGCCAAAGAAGTTGCGCTGACTATGTTGGGAATACAGTACCGCATGCATCCAGCTATTGCGCAGTGGCCTGCTACCATGTTCTATCCAGAAGGTCTGCACGACGGCGTTCTCGCAAGCCAGGTAATCGGCGTGGCTGACTACACACGTACATGCGGATTTTGACTCTTGCATCGCTTGTTGTCTGCTTGATATTTTGTGAAGTTATAAGTCCCACTGCCATCTCATTTCTCCCACAGGCTTCACAATAATATTCGCACAAGTTATGGAAAGTGTGTTAAAACTTAAAATGTATGACCATATATATAATATAGAGGTATACAATTATGTCCCGACTGGTCTAGCAGCAGCGCACCTCCGCTTAATACTCTTCGTCTCGAGTAAATGACGATTGCCCTCTTGCATTTTTATCAGCGTATTGTGTTCTACTTCTGGATCTGTCATCATTAAATCTTATATTTTATACTCGAGAGCCCTATTAATATGTCATACCTATATCGTAGCGCTCTACACACAACCCTTCGCTATAGTATATGTATTGCATACATCGTAGAATTACACATGAACTGCAGAACCCCGTAGGTATGCAAAGTTCGTGTCGTTAGATCTATTTGGTTTGATCGTATTGGAAGGTTTCCGCTCAGCCCGCGGATGGAAATCATTCTAGTCCAGGCGCGTATGTCAAGTTTTGTGTGTTAGACAATCAGTGTCATCACATATACCGTCTATGCATAACATGTAGAATACAGCATGTATCCAAAGAAAAAACAGCACTATTTACACTTGTAAACATGCACAGGAAAACATGATCACATATAAGCACATTTATACAAGTCTTCATCGACATTCAAGTGATGTGGTGGATTTACGCCAGTGCATAGAGGAAGACTGTACAACTACCGACAGTACCGAGGCTATAAAACTATTGTAACGATGATATTGATCCTCAGCATGTATACGGACCGATTGTCTTTTCGAGCTTCCATCATAACACGTGCCGTGGAGCATGTACGCATAGTACTCGCACTTGCAATCCTAAAATTCTGTGTGCATATTCATGAAATTGCATGCCTATAAAATTACAAGACTTGCACTTTAATATTCTCACACACGTATACGCTTTCACGGCTACTTGTGCGCCACGCAATTGGGCAGAGACTGCCTGTAGATGGCTTCCCCTGGCCCAAATACCAGTCAACTGGCATCAAAGAACAGTGCGAACTCCGAAACGACAAGGAAAACGTGGACCAAATGACAATTGGGAGTGTAGCACCGATACTGGTGATCAACATCGAGGGACAAGAACAGGTATGTCCCCTGCCGCACGCTAACGTATGTGATCTTAATCACATAATGTAGAGAACGCTCCTCCCGAAACCTCCCGAAAATTCTGAACAATTCGGCACGCTCTTGTCACCATCTTCCTTGATCCTTGAACTGATCAGGAACGAGGAATGTCACGCCAGTGAAAATTGCAGACTGTGGTTTCAGGGATTGCAAGCCGCCAATTGTCAAAGTCGCCGTTTTGGCAAGCAACCCTTTTTTTCTTTAATATCTGACTGGGAGTCAGACAGTTTACAGTCACAGGATTATACTCAAGTGCTTGCTTGCTGGTCCACATCGCAGACAAAAGGTTCTTCCTGGTATAACGATATCGAAGCCCAGGCATGCAGTGCCATAGTTAACAAATTGGTGGCGAATGGAATGATTCCTGCAAACATTGGAGTTATCACACCTTACACAGGACAAGTAGCCAATATCACCGAGGTACAGTTCAGCGCTTTTAGTACACTATGATGTGTTCATGGTGATGTTGAAGGATGGATATTATATGTTTGTATGCACCCCTTCTGCAAAGATCGTGAGTGATACAGTTTTATACATACTTGCTGAAAGTCATGTACACACTCGTTTAATTAAAGTGAATTCTTGTACAGTATTGTATTATTGCAAAATCTTCCATACTTTAACTAGACTCGCAAGTCCAACTCCGCCTTGGACCTCATTTGATACTGTCTGACAAGATTTTGACCACTACTCCTCTCATTTTGTTCTGTTTGTACTATTTTTATGATTAACACAGAAAATCGACACGTTAGGTGCCAAACTACAGACAGTAGCCGCCACACCTGGGGTTCTGAAGGTTTGTATGTGTATATACTATCAGGTATAATAGTACTTAGTCTCGTGATAAGTCGCGTACCTTTATTTTTTTGTCAGAGTCGGGTGGTCGTACACAGCTTGTTGTGTGACAAGCGTACAATACACATGGGAGTTACACATGCATGTGTTGAAACACATGAGAGTGCGTCAATCAGTTTGAAAGACTTGGGTATGATGGAGTAACTGAGGAATGAAAGAGTAATTATAAACACAGCTCCAAAACATATCCACGATAGTGCTGATTTCAGCTGATTTTCTACTATTCTAAGAGTATTCACATCATCCGAGAATCGATCTAAAAAGCGTGTATCAGTCTTTTAACGAGTTTAGAGCTTAGTTTTAGTTGTAAAGGGTAAATTTGTGCTCGATTTTTTTTTAACACTTCTTTGTGTGTGTACACGCACCAGTTTATATTGTTTGCACCGGTATGAGTGAAGCAATCATTATTCTTTACGTTTGATTGTGAAGAAAACTTGTATGCGGATATAGTTTTACTATACACTTCCACACATATTTTCACAAGATATATAAAGGTCTTTACATGGTAGAGCATAAAAGAACCCAAACATGTATGCTTGTTCAAACGAAGATTACTCATATACACTCATTTTGTTGTTGGTTTATCTCGTCTTTATTCTTCAACACACTACAGAATGGGCACGTTGAGGTGCAGACTGTAGACTCGTATCAAGGTCGCGAGAAAGAAGTAATCGTCCTCTCATGCGTGCGTTCGAGTAAAAATACCGGTGTCGGCTTCTTGAAGGATAAACGTCGAATGAATGTAGCTTTGACGAGGGCCAAGCGTGGGCTGGTCGTACTTGGTATGATATTATATGTCAATTACACATACATCATGTCTGCTCAATCGAGTTGCGCTTCATAATTATACTTTGCGTGCAGTACACGCATTCATAACACGTTCACAATAAGCTTCGGGGTTTATGCGTTGCATACATATACTGCAAGTAGTTGTGGTAGTACCTATACGCTTCGTGTTCATGAATGGATTGCAAGCCATTTGTAATCTGCTACGGATTTTAAAGGGTCATGTAGTTAGACAATCCTGTGTTCAAGTACTCAATATTTCATTACCTAACGTGCATTTGAATTGAATAGTAAATTAATCGTGAATTTCACTGTTTATAGACTTATCTAGCATGGACGAGATCGATGGTAGTAAGTGTACCTCCTCATCATTCGAACTAGTACACTGCTGATATAAATTCCACAATGTATACTTAAATAACAGCCGACATCAAAACTCTTAACCGCAATGTCACCTGGAGAACGTACTTGACCTGGGCGACGGCCAACGGACTGGTGAAGAACTGGGGGGATGTTGAGGCAGCTATCTGGTGATCACTATCCAACCTTCTGACAATGCTATAGGACTCATGCACGGCGAAGACTCAGTATTGTCTAACTTGTGCTTTGCATATAGCGTGTACTTCCCTCATGGCCCTGAGGCCGAGCTGCCGTTCTTTAGCAACACTTCAACCATGCGCATCTGAACGGAGGACTAATGCTTTTTTGCGTGCAATATACGTATACGCTTTTAGGAGTCGCTCGTGACGTGCTGGTAGTGTGTCCCGGAACCAGGTGGCCAGGGATAATTTCAAGAATTGGCTACCACGCTGGATTTTCAGGTCGAATAGCCAGAGACAGCCAGAATGGATAACTCGCTTAGTATGCATGAGCGAAAGTGGTGGGGTCTGTGTGGTGGTGATGAGCTGTCTCTTATAACTAAGGCTCGTGTGTGATACACGGTCCACACAGATCCGTTTTCAATTGGACGCGCAATCGTGGATGAGTTCAGAACCTGCCTATGTGACATGCGTTTGCAGGGGAATACTTGTTTGTGGGGGAGTGTAGTAACTGCAGGCGTACGGGGGCATATATTACCTAATTTAGTAACTGTATCAAACATTTAGTTGCGTCCTGTGATGATTAGGGGACGCGTGCAGATATGGTCACGGCATAATTTTGAATAAATGTTCATAGACTGCTAAATCTGTGTGACCATAAAGCTGAAAGGGTTTCCACCTTCACCTTTATTGATTTATTTGTTTGAGTTGATTACTATATCGATGTCGACGTCGGTACACGTGAATATTAGGATTTAGGGAATTATGAACAACAGCCAATTTTGCCAGCATGCTGTGGATTGTATGTCACATGTCCGCCCTTTCAAGTTGATGCCTGCTATCCAACGTTCTCCTCACCAGCTCAAAGTATTGCAGTATCGCCAGTACTTCATACCGAAGTCCGTATCATACAGCGAGTCGCCTCGCTGCCTATATCTATTTGGAAATTATATACTTGTACAGAGATTTACTTATACAGTAATCTTACGCACGCCCCCAGATCATCCGTCGCCCCAGCACTAACCAGTTGCTGCTGCATGCCAGCTACTATTTTGCTCACATCTCCGCCAACTCCCGGTCGGATGCTACACACCTGTACGGTGTATCCCCGTCGAATAACAGCATCCTGTGGTGCGGTGGAGAGAGTTGATATTGATATTGGGACCAGATTGATAGTACGCAAAAAATACTTCACTTTTTTTTTGGTCAAATCACCTCGTGCATCAGCGAGTTCGTACACATTTCGCTATTGAAAAACAATATTATATATTGTAGCACAAACTGTAGGATCCATAAACTCATACCAGCCAGAACCGCTTAGGCGTTATACACATAGCGTACGAAATATGCGTATAGAAAAATAATAAGGCACGACACATTTACTTGAATTGGTAACCTAGAACCCTAATGTGAGGTCAGGTAGTTGCAGGGTTGTTTCATCCAATCAGGAAGTAGACATTTGATCCTTAATTGCTAAACACGCATACCTGGATGAACATCGTCACCACCCGGCCATCTTTGACTGTGACAGAGGCGCGTTGACTTTGCGGACTCCACTCCACCGGAAATATTTCCTAAGGCGCAGTGGAGATGATGAGCTGAGAAATCCAAAACATTTTTTTGTCTCATAGTGTATAACAAAGTATTCAATATTTCGTAAAATAAGGCTGTACGAAATAAAAAGACTATATACGCCTTTTGAGTGACAATGTGCATATGTAGCATGAAAGGAATAATACACAGTGCAATCTCGTTTAGTCACTTCGCACTCTGTAACATTAACATATACTCGCAATACATTCGATGCTTTACAACATCCTGCCAACGACATCCCCAATTCAAAACACAATTATGTTTGTATCTAGGACTATTTGCAATATGGTACATAACTACATCACCTGCATCACCATGAAGAAAGTTGACTTATATTTAGGGAGCAGTAAGTAGTACATGTTTGTCAAAAGTGCACATCACGTAGCCACGCAAATTGGCAAATCCGAATGATATGTTGCAGGAATTTGCACAAGGCCACATTAAGACATTGTCCGAAGCTATATAAGTTTGTACATAGTCAGAATCTATTACGTCTGGATGCTTCGTATATGCGCTTATCTACTATTTAGATTCATATGTGTATCGACTGAAAATAGAGACAAACTAATAGGAAAATTCTAGCTGCAGAAACAGGATATAGCATTTCTCAAGCGATCGCAACAAGTAAGAATCGATTCAAGATTGTTGTAAGTATAAGGACAGATTTGATAGTTATGCTTAAAACGTTTGATGTACCAAGTATTGTTCTGCGTAGATAGTCATGTCCGAATCAAATCAGTCTATTGTTTCACAAACTGCGATTTATCAAACCAGCCTTTCCCAATGAAAAAAGTGAGTGGCAAGAATAGCATACAGTACCAATTAAACAGCCAACCAAGTATTCATCTCCAACAACAACTACACATAAAATTTGTATTCACATATATAGCCTTCACACAATGCACATCCTCCTATATACTTTAAAAAGCACAACAAATTACTCATTACCAATATATCTCAATAATGAGTATATCAATGCACATCCTCCTATATACTTTAAAAAGCACAACAAATTACTCATTACCAATATACCTCAACAATGAGTATATCAATGCACATCCTCCTATATACTTTAAAAAGCACAACAAATTACTCATTACCAATATATCTCAACAATGAGTATATGTGGTCTTCCACGGGAATGAACCGCGTCAATAAGAATTCATATCCCATGAGCAAAGCAAAGATAACTTACGCACACCTTACCTGAGCCTTGTGCTGTAGTGAATCCACAATAAGTGACATAATCAATAAACTTCATGTACACACGGTGCATGACAATACATCTAATCATCTATGTACATGAACTAAAACCCTCATGGCCACGCTGCTCCTACAAAATTTCTGCTCCAAACCAAACAAGAACCGCACCGAACCCGAACAGTAAACCTACCGCTAACCTCTGCACCTCTGTATTGATTGCAGTAATGAACTGTATGTGGTGCTTGACTTCTTGGATCAGAAACACAACATCGTTTGTAGCGATAGCCTCACGGACGATGGGGTTTATGTTGACCTGTTCAGCAGGTGTGAGCGTAGCAGACACAAGCCAATCCAGATCTGTCCGGCAGGAATAGGACAACGCGTCGAATGATGAGCAGAAAGGTTCTGCGCGATATATATATGAATGATAAACTGCTGCGTCTTTGCACACACCATCGAGCAGAGCTTTTGTATAGTTAGTATTGAACAAGAGTATGGTGAGTAGGGGTTTTGCGTATATGTATAAACTCCAACACTGATTCGGAAACATGTGTACGTATACCATTTGCAGAAACAAAGGCTATCTTTTCGACAATATATGCGATCAGTTACACTTAATGGACAGCCACATTTGACTACGCTAATTCCTCGAACATGCCTAGGGGGCTCCTAGGTGATAGGACTGCTCAACTCACACCAATATAGGTTTCAAATAACGCAGAAGCGCACCACATACATTTAAATAGATCCTGGTTCTTATTTCGTGCAGGTACGCTACTCATTAAATCACATGCATGCAACATCTAACCTTGCGCATCACCGATTAAAGAAAATCCGTCCTTCTGATTCGTCCTTCTTTCGCACACCCATAATAGTCAACATCTCCAAAACTACGTACAATACCTACTATCGCCCGCTGCCACGCTTAAGCTGTTCAAAAAATACCTCGAATGTAAACACAGCTTGACTATAGTTGTGCGATTTTACGCATTTCAGCTGACACTATCCATCACACCATTGAAATGAATGGAAATTCCCCGTGACTACAAAAATGGGAAAACCCAAACCAATCTACTTATTTAACTCACCATCGCCGAACACCACCGTCAGGGTGAATAAGGATATTTCATTGGTAACAGGATTGATGTTGGTTATGTCCACATGCAGTGTGCAGTCCTCAAGACGGGCGCGTGTGTGCGACATTTTCCGCATCACGCCCAGCAGATCGTCGTGCCATTGTTTCCTCTCGCTGAGAGTCTACGAACGATGCATGGAATTTTCAGGCAGAAAAACAATATGTAAACGCCAATGTGCTGGATGTATGCAAAGTGTATCCTAGTTTAACCTAGAAAAAAAACCCCCAGTGAAAACTGGCGAACCCAAAGCATTCGCATCTCCATTTCAGGGTAGATTGATCATAGAGTAGAGAGAGGTCCTGCGCATAGATTGATATTGGGAGGCATGTGCCGCGATGGGTATATCGCAAAGGGCACTCACGACGCCACATGCACTGTGTACTATTTTCACATACAGATTCTAAAAAGAAACATGAGAGTGGAAAATACACAGTGCTCGTGCATGAGGCCCCTGAACACTTCCTGCATGGCGCGTGCATGATCAATTTTCTGGATGCTATGTTCGGACAGAAGCGCACACACACTGTCCAGCATACACAGGTAGTCAATACCTTCACCGAGACGCCGTCTGTCTCCTGCACCTCAATTGACATCAGCTGCGTATTGAGTTCGTTTGCTTGCTGCCTCAGGTTTTCTTTGGCTTCGTCTGCCTGTTTATATTGCGTGGCGTAATAAACAGTTCGAACTGAGTGACATATGATCCTAAGTTTGCATCTTTACGTTCGTGTATGTGTTTACGGACCAAGCGTGTTTGATGGGTAAACATGTACCTTAGGCCGGTAGTAGCGATTTTGTGAAAACGAGGTCAAGAGACTGATATAAAGATGATACGATTTGTATCTGCCGCACACCGCATCGCCGCTGCATTAAGACTCCAGTGCTTTGTGTTAAGCAGCAACAACCCTTTGAATCTTAATTACATCTTTTAAATTTGCTTGTACGGTGATAATTCTATATACCCTGCCGTACTGATGAAAACCCATAACTAATTCAATAAAGAAGAGAAAGTATAGAAATACTGAGTATTGGCCATATTGGATGATCTGGAAAGATCCGGATCAAGTTAGCTCCAAATACATGTGAAGTCTTCAGCTTTTGAAAAAAAGGCGTGCTGAAGATCAGACAACATATTTCTTCATACTTTCAGATCATGCTTCATCTGAAGAAGTATAGTAATGACAAATTTTAAGAACTAATTGTGTTGCGCAGGGCCTTCATCCTTGACAAAATGTCAGGACATATCTAATATTTCCAAACACTCAGGTTGATAGGTCGAGTCCGTCAAAAAACAAAACAAAAACTAGGGGTATTGTGATGTGTGACCTAATGCCGTGATACAACATTGAAGCTTCTCACTGATCAGCTCCTCTCGATGTGAGAATCAACGAAATTTCTCCATTATACATATGTTTTAAGGTTAAACGAATCAACATAGACCAATTGTCACATCAAATAGGCATAGAATGACTACCTTTATCACCATCACATGTCTCGAATTGAACAAATGCCTGACAAATACCGGTAGCTCCTTCTCATCTGTACTCGAATTGAATAAATACCTGACATATATCTCACCTGTGTGATTTGCCATTGCAAGTCAGCAATCTCTGACTTGACCGTTTGTTCACTATCTAAAAGCTCAACAATCCTCTGCTTTTGGGCGTCCAATATATCCTGTGGTTAACAGTGTAGACACGTAGAGCCAAATGAGAATGTAAAATACTGTAATTTAATTGTCCTCAAACCCGTAATATTATTCAAAGACCTACCACAGTTTCAGTCAGAAGTTTTCACCCTACGACAAACTGCCAAAATATGAAGCTTGATTGATGTATAGGTAAATAAATCAATCGCACCACGCAAGATAATCATCATTGAATAGGCGGCTAGACTGCTATAGCAAAATACATTCCAAGCACAAACATGAGTTTAACTCCTCACCCGCATACCTACCTTAAACGAGATTGCTTTAGAAAACTTATCCTATGAAATGTTCTCATTGTGTTATAGCGGTGATTGTCAGGTTCTCAACGTGTTAAATACGCCACACAGAATGAGCAGCTCTAATCCTGCCCGGATTTTAACATACATGGTTTTGCATTGGTTATTGTGCGTGTGTAATTTGTATGCCAGCAGACTGTGCATCAGTGCATGGTATGCCTTGGCTTTGCGTTGTATTGTCAAGCATGTAAGTGCGATCCAGATGCAAATATGTGGTCTATTGGCGAAGGAGTTCATGTATCCCCATATCAATATTATTGTTCCTGAACAAACCCGTATACCATGTCGCTGAGTACAGTCTTGCATGCTTCAGACCCACACCTACCCACCTGTGCGTTGTCTTTGGTCATCTGTTCATCGTTTATGTACAATGGCTCTCGGGTCTGTCGTTTCAGCTGCCGCACTTCGTCGCGCAGTGCTGTGGTTGTTCCCAACAGCTCTTGCGCCAGAGCCAGTTCTTGCTGTATGTGCACGGGGGTAAGTAGTGGAAAAAAAAGTATGGAATTTATTGAGAAAAGTATCAAGGAAAGAGAGAGATACATTAGAATGGCGGAGGCTTAAAGACTCAGAAGATATATGAACATCAAGTTCTAATTCACCATACTCGCGATACTTAATTTGTTTAAAAAAAACTAATGGACAAATGTGAGCCATGGCTCTGAACTGCGGAAAAAAGGCTAGCATTTGCACTGCAACACAAACGAAGCTCAGCCCGGAATTTGTTCACGTAGCTTCACAATCTAGGCATGAATGAGATATTGGCCTACTACTTTGTTCTGTCTCGGTCAGACAAGAATCATGCGCAAAATAGTAAAGCAGATCATACGTAGCACGTGCAATTATATTTCAAATTTCAGAACTTGAACTTCGGAAACATTTTCGAGCTTACAGTGTAAAATTTCACATACCCGACAAGGCTCGTAGTGCTCGCCTAAGCTCTCCACCATAGCCTGCACTTGTTTATACTGAACTTCGTTGGCTTGTTTCAGATGCCGGACTTTTGCTTTCTCCTCTACTAGCGACTCCTCTAGTTCCTGATTTGTCATTCCGTATTGATATTCACGAATTATGAGTTGAGAGGTTATATCTAGGTTGGCTACTATTAGCTTCATCTGTGAAGTGTACGTCCTCTTACACATTATATCTATCACTCAACTTTTACATGCAGATGATACATTTAGAGTAAATCTCCTCATTACCCTATATGTGACCATAATTATCCCATTTCCGTCCCCAATTCCGAGCGACAACGCTCTAAGAGACTACAAGTATATTATAAACCCTTGACTACTCATCTACATAACCGCATGCACACATTTAATTGTATGTGGGCACACCATTGAGAATGCCCTAATCCACTTCTAAAAGTCGAGCTCAATATATGCAGGTGCGTCAGACGAACTACTCAACTATCCAATTTACACTCAGGGTATCAACTACCTATGCTCTGTACGGAAAACGATAGCATTCATCCAAAACTGCGCTGCTCGCACATACCTTGTCATCAAAATTTCCATTTAAATCGTTCAAATGCTCGAGAAAGCAGTTCTTTGTCTCCAGCTCAATCAGAATTAACTTGAGTTTACCGAAATGTTCTGTTTCGCTGTCCAGATTGTTTTGTATATTGGCTGATGCGGCATTCACTTGTTCCAGCTGTGATAACAATGTCAAAAACAGTTCTGAGTCAACACTATAAAGGGCACGTTCATCTGAAAAGTGGAATGTTCGAGCAGTCTGGTCTGTAGTGGGTATGGTGCTTATGCATGATAGGGCAATTGTGAGTCGAGAGGGATGACTTATACACATCGCCAAAGAGTTCTGAGAACGTACCCTACAATTTCACACGCATACTTTCCAAAATACATATGACAATGGTGGGGTATGAAACATGCGAGTAGGAGCTATCAGCCGTCGTTGCCGAGTTGACGCAGGCGCTGTGAATTGTGTCATAAATACAGTATTTTAAAGTAGAGGTGACTTTCTTGCTAGATTGGACGCGAGTACTGCACAGATTTGGGTATCATATAGCTTCTCTACAGCGCGACGGCTTGTGCTGTGATCATCTTGTTAGATAGAGTACTATACCCATCGCACGATCTTCATAAAGGGGACGTCGTCATGAAAATAGCTGGGCTAGGGCTTACACGTACATAGATAATTTTAGTATGTGTATGATTGAACGTGTCAGGGTATGATCTCCAAGATCGGAGTTAGGACTACCCCTAAGTGATCGCAATTGATTGTTGCTATATTTTTTTTGAGCACTAATCTTGACCAACAATAAGACACTTCTGTTAATGTCACGAAACTCGGTAGCGCGTGCAAATACAGACGACTGAATGCAAATGAGGAACTCGTGGCCATGTGCGACCCTTAATGAAAGTAATGCTTCGCTACGACAACGTAACCTTTTAATTGCTGTCGATATACTTACAGCTGAAGTGAACCGGTGTAATGAATTCAACGAGGTAGCAAAAAGGTCAGGTATCTCTCGCGATGCATGCATGAATCGCATACAAATTCACGTGAAATAATAATGCACGCAATCCCATAAATCCAGGACTAGTTATAGAAGTATCATTTGCATTCGAACAGAAGGCGGTATAGTGGTGAACTAAATAATCCCTCAGATTACCAAATGTCCATCGTGCAGGCGAGGTGGGGCATATTAGTGTAAACCTTCTACAAAGCAGTGCACGTGTACATCTGGGGACCGAACACGAACAGCCTATCGCCATATTCCTCTACAAGGCATATACCGGTGCATAGATAAATGTGTGAAGCAGTACGAGATCCTTCTAGCAACTCCTGAGAGTTCGTCAGATATATACGAATGCACATAGGAAGCAAGCTATCGCGAGTAGTCCAGTAGTTAGATCTTGACGTCAAAGCGGTCTTGATAAGTATTTCATCAAAATAGGACACAAATAGCAGGTAAAGCCCATATAAATAAAAACACTTATTTGTAATTTATCGATAGCTTTTAGTTGCCGGCCTAACGCATACTGCAATGGTGGTGTGCGTAACTTTTACAGACTCCAATACAAGTAGTCGTAGCCATTTAGATGCAATGCTCGGCCAAAATACATACAGATCGTGAAATATAGAAATAAAACAATACATCTCCAAGGACTAAGATTAAAAAAATTCAACACATGCCTTCATAGAGCAACATCAGTAAATATGCACAACATACCTCTATGGGTACCCGTGTAGGTTTGTTCTGTATCTCGGTCAAAACCTGCTGTATGCTGGACAGATCCATGCTGAGTGCAGCTGAAGGGTGTGGTTTGGGTGTGAGGTGTTTCGGTGTGTGGCCCATATTGTGTGAGATTGCGTTGCGCTTCGAGCGATGCGGCGTTTCGTTGCTGACCTCCATGGTTGCCTAGTGATACAGTGATGTAGTGAATATGTAGCACAGCATATGCTGGTATGTGTGTATTTAGGGGTTGATGTGTGAGAAATATTCGTACTCTTATCGATTCGTATGCGATCCGATCACCTCTCTACGTTATATGTGTACCTATTTCTGAATCTGAATCATTTAGTCTGCAGCTAGCGTCATGTAAAGGTAGCGGAGTAGAGGTAGTACGATTTTTATATTGGGACGGATATTCATCTATCCAAACTATACTGTTACAGTTTCGAGAATGTTTTAGATGAGACTCGATCAACACCTGTGCACAATAACTATATTTTTATAAGAGTGATGCATGCATACACTGGCATATCCCTCATATCTCATGGTGATTTCATTGCTACAACAGCCGTACAGCCTTAACAGGGCTACTCAGTCACAGACCAGACCTGTATTTATAATGATAAAAATCATGGCCTATCAGGTCATCAGTATTTCAAAGTTTTTCCCGCCATTTTCTAACCTAACTTTTCAAGGGGGTCTAATTTAGAAGGCTATGGGTTTCACTACAGTGTTTTAGGGCTTCGTGTCATCGAGTCTCGAGATGATGTTTTCATTATTGAACTATATTTGCGATATGAATATACTATGTACCATATTTATTTCTATACTTCTAAGGTGCGGAAGTGATATGTACACAAGCAGAGGAATAGTGAGCATATCATCATGAGCCTTATTCTATGCCACTATGGAAGCTATGCGATGCGAAGCTGATCTTATAAATCAAAAACTCTAAGTATACAGGTTTTGTAAGCCTCGCAGCTACATGGCAAGTATGTTTACATTCGTTGTATTGATCCTGTTATCAGTCCTACTGGCACAATGCCGTGTGACCCAGAGACCTGAGCTGAGCAACAAAATACTGTGACTGTTGGATCTTCACGTCGATATGTACTACGGAACACCTTACAGTATGGGTATAGCCTGCAATGATGCAACCGCGCCGAAGTTTGGAGTTGCTAAATGTGATAGCCCGTTGGTACTCGTTAACGAGACTCTTCTCGCTGCTGCAGAAGTATGTCTCGGACTTTCTTTCTAGCCTTTCATATAAAGATTTTGTGTTGCCGTTTCAGCAAGTACCTATCTTGTACCGCCAGCTTATAGGCCGACGCATATAGAAAACTATTGTAAGGGAGTACGATCACTTCTGTGCACTTGTGCCTTTTTGTGGACTGACAAGGAGGTTCAGTATTATACTGATTTAGCTTCATGTGAGATACGCACAACGCTTGCAGTTTTATCCACGTGAGGTATACATGTGTAGTTACAATTTTTGCCTTGGACGTCACTCCATTCCCGTGTGTATTTCTCTATTTTGCATATCCAGTTCTCAGCATACCAGGCATGGTTATATAACAACAGGTATCAACATCTACGGAGAATTGCAAGAGTATATATATATATACTACCCACACACACTCATATATATATATATATATATATGTATATATATATATATATATATATATGTATATATATATATATATATATAT